TAGAGGAGCAAGATCAAAAAAAACTCAAAACCTAGCAGAAGACAAGAAATAACTAAGATCAGAGCAGAACTGAAGGAGATAGAGACATGAAAAACCCTTCAAAAAAATCAGTAAATCCAAGAGCTGGTTTTTTGAAAAGATCAACAAAATAGACAGATCACTAGCCAGACTGATAAAAAAGAAAAGAGAGAACAACCAAATACATGCAATAAAAACGATAAAAGGGAAATCACCACAGATTCCACAGAAATTCAAACCATCATCAGAGAATACTACAAACAACTCTATGCACATAAACTAGTAAACCTGGAAGAAATGGATAAATTCCTGGACTCCTGTGTCCTTCCAAGCCTAAACCCGGAGGAAGCCGAAACTATGAATAGACCAATAACAACGTCTGAAGTCGAGGGAGCAATTAAGAGCCTACCAAACAAAAAAAGCCCAGGTCCTGATGGGTTCACAGCCGAATTCTACCAGACACACAAAGAGGAGCTGGTACCATTCCTTCTGAAACTATTCCAAATAATCCAAAAAGAGGGAATCCTTCCCAAATCATTTTATGAGACCAACATCATCCTGATACCAAAACCCAGCAGAGTCTCAACAAGAAAAGAAAACTTCAGGCCAATATCCATGATGAACATAGATGCAAAAATCTTCAATAAAATACTGGCAAACTGATTGCAACAGCACATCAAAAACCTTATCATCATGATCAAGTAGGATTCATCCCGGGGATGCAAGGCTGGTTCAACATACGCAAGTCTATAAATATAATTCACCACATAAACAGAACCAAAAACAAAAACCACATGATTATCTCAATTGACGCAGAGAAGGCATTTGACAAATTTCAACAGCCCTTTATGCTAAAAACCCTCAATAAACTCAGTATTGATGGAACGTATCTCAAAATAATAAAAGATATTTATGAAAAACCAACAGCCAATATCATACTGAATGGGCAAAAACTGGAAGCATTCCCTTTGAAATCCGGCACTAGACAAGGATGCCCTCTTTCACCACTCCTATTCAATATAGTACTGGAAGTTCTAGCCAGAGCAATCAGGCAAGAAAAAGAAATAAAGGGTATTCAAATAGGAAAGGTGGAAGCCAAATTGTCTCTATTTGCAGACGACATGATAGTATACATAGAAGACCCCATCGCCTCAGCCCAAAAACTCCTGAAACTGATAAGCAACTTCAGCAAAGTCTCAGGATATAAAATCAATGTGCAAAAATCACAAGCATTCGTCTACACCAATAACAGACTTAAAGAAAGCCAAATCAAGAACGAACTGCCATTCACAATTGCTACAAAAAGAATAAAATACCTTGGAATACAACTCACAAGGAATGTAAGGGACCTCTTCAAGGAAAACTACAAACCACTCCTCAACGAAATAAGAGAGGACACAAACAGATGGAGAAACATTCCATGTTCATGGTTAGGAAGAATTAATATCATGAAAATGGCTATACTGCCCAAAGTAATTTACAGAATCAATGCTATCCCCATCAAGCTACCATTGACTTTCTTCACAGATCTGGAAAAAGCCCCATGAACTTCATATGGAACCAAAAGAGAGCCCGCATAGCCAAGTGAATTCTAAGCAAAAATAACACAGCAGGAGGCATCACACTACCGGATTTCAAACGATACTACAAGGCTACAGTAATCAAAACAGCATGGTACTGGTACCAGTACCAAAACAGAGATGTTGACCAATGGAACAGAACAGAGGCCTCGGAAGCAACGCCACACATCTAAACCATCTGATCTTTGACAAACCTGATAAAATCAAGCAATGGGGAAAGGATTCCCTGTTTAATAGATGGTGTTGGGAAAACTGGCTAGCCATATGCAGAAAGCAGAAACTGGACCCCTTCCTGACACCTTACACTAAAATTAACTCCAGATGAATTAAAGACTTAAACATAAGACCTAACACCATAAAAACCCTAGAAGAAAACCTAGGTAAAACCATTTAGGACATAAGCATAAGCAAGGTCTTCATGACTAAAACACCAAAAGCATTGGCAACAAAAGCCAAAATAGGCAAATGGGACCTAATCAAACTCCACAACTTCTGCACAGCAAAAGAAACAGTCACTAGAGTGAATTGGCAACCATCAGAATGGGAAAAAAAATTTGCAGTTTACCCATCTGACAAAGGGCTGATATCCAGAATTTACAAAGAACTCAAACAGATTTCCAGGAAAAAAACAAGCCCATTCAAAAATGGGCAAAAGATATGAACAGACACTTTACAAAAGAAGACATACACGAGGCCAAGAAACATATGAAAAAATGCTCATCATCACTGGTCATTAGAGAGATGCAAATCAAAACCACATTGAGATACCACCTCATGCCAGTTAGAATGGCAATCATTAAAAAATCTGGAGACAACAGATGCTGGAGAGGATGTGGAGAAAAAGGAACACTTTTACACTGTTGGTGGGAATGTAAATTAGTTCAACCATTATGGAAGACAGTGTGGCGATTCCTCAAGGCCTTAGAAATAGAAATTCCATTTGACCCAGCAATCCCATTACTGGGTATATATCCAAAGGACTATAAATCGTTTTACTATAAGGACACATGCACACGAATGTTCATTGCAGCACTGTTTACAATAGCAAAGATCTGGAACCAACCCAAATGCCCATTGATGATAGACTGGACTGGGAAAATGTGGCACATATACACCATGGAATATTATGCAGCAATCAAAAATGATGAGTTCGTGTCCTTTGTAGGGATTTGGACGAATCTGGAGAATATCATTCTCAGCAAACTGACACAAGAACAGAAAATGAAATACCAAATATTCTTACTCATAGGCGGTTGAGGAATAATGAGAACACATGGACACCGGGAATGGGGTACTACACACTGAGGTGTATTGGCGGGAATAGGGGAGGGACAGCAGGGGGTGGGGGCGCTGGGGAGGGATAGCCTGGGGAGAAATGCCAAATGTGCGTGAAGGGGAGGAAGGCAGCAAAACATACTGCCATGTGTGTACCTATGCAACTGTCTTGCATGTTCTGCACATGTACCCCAAAACCTAATATGCAATAAAAAAAGAGAAAAAAAGAAACAAAAGAAGGGACTTATTTCCAAAAATATAAAAAATGCTTACAACTCAATAATTAAAAAGCAAATAATGCAAATACTAATGCATACAGAATCTGAAGAGACTTTCCTCCAAAGATACAAAAATGGCCTAATAAGCACATAAAAAGATGTTTAGCATCATTAATCATAAGAGAAATGCAAATAAGAACTATAAAAAAATACCACTGCACTCCTATAAGGGTGAGTAAAGTAAAAACGACAGACAATAAGTGTTGACATTCATGTGAAAAAATTGGAACCCTCATACATTGATGGTGCGACTGTAAAACGGCTAAATGGTGCTACCAATTTGGAACAGTTTTGCAGTTCCTCAAAATGTTAAAGAATTACTATCTGATCCAGCAATTCCACTCCTACGTATATATCCAAGAGAAATGAAATCATGTCTATACAAAAACCTGTACACAAATGTTCACAGCAGTATTACTCATTATAGATAAAAAGTAGCAAACTAAATAGGATCTATAAATTCCTGGAGGTAAGTAACACCATGTTGTCTTAGAGAGAAATCACATGGCTGAAATGTAGCATCTAGGGGAGAGGGTTAGGGAGGAGGACTGCTAGGGAGGGGCCCAATTTGCAGATTTCATAAATCATGCTCAGGTTAGACTTTAACCTAACAGCTATGGGTGTCCACCAAAGCATTTTAGGCAGGGAGCATCACCTTGGTTCTTTTACAAAGATCACTCTAGCTGCCATATAAAAAACGAACTGGAGAGAAGCAAGACAGGAAACAGGGAACAAGATCAGATTCAATATTCCAGTGAGAAGGGTTGATGATGATAACAGTGTAAAGGAAGACAAGAGGATGGATTTCAGAGAGATTTAAGAAAAGAAACTGACAAGGCTTGTGTAGGTGGTGAGAAGAATCAGTATATCACAGCTTACACATTCACTAAGTTATGGGGATGGCTGAAAGTTTTTTTAAAAGTTTACTTTTTACCTGATGCTCCAGACATAAGAAAGAAGAAAAAAAAAGTTTACTTTTATCCGTATTAAGTGACTAATGGGACATCCAATCAAAGATGTCCAATGGGCATCTGGTCTAAAGAACAACGAAGGCGTGGCATGGTGGCCTACATCTATAATCCCAGTACTTTGGGAGGCCAAGGCAGGTGGATTGCCTGAGGTCAGGAGTTTGAGACCAGCCTGGCCAATATGGTGAAACATTGTCTCTACTAAAAATACAAAAATTAGCCAAGCATGGTGGCACACACCTGTAATCCCAGGTACTCGGGAAACTGAGGCAGGTCAATCACTTGAGTCCAGGAGATGGAGGCTGCAGTGGGCTGAGATGATGCCACTGCACCCCGGCCTGGCCAACAGAACAAGACTGTCTCAAAAAAAAAGTACAACAAAAAGATCTGGCAGTCATCAATATTATTAATTTCAATATTATTAATTGTAAGTAAGCAATGGGAGTCGTGGGTAAGATTGCAAAATAAGGTTAGGACAGAACTCTGAATAATGTTAATTAAAGAATAAGAAGAAACAGCCTAAAAAGTAGACTGAGAAATAGTGTAAGAGCAAAAATAGAACCAGAAGATTACAGTTCACAAAGCTAAGAATAAGAATGTTTCAAGAAGAATTAGACAATGTGCCAAAGCTGAAGCAAGATAAAAGTCTGGGAAGTATACAATGGGGATTTGGAAGCCGAGGAGCATTTTATCCACTGCAGTAGGTTTAAGAAGCAAATGAATATAGAGGAACTGGAGACAACAAGTTTAAGTAATTCTTCAACTGACATCAAAGATTTTAAATGGCAGAGTATGCATATACTGTAATCACGTTATTTCATATAGTCTTACATTCCTACATATTAGACTAAATATAGAACACAGTAAAACAGAAAACCTACTTTTGTAAGCAGTATTATGGTTTCAAAAGCAGTTCTGTATTGAGTGTGATAAGAAAGCTGAAATCCAGAAATATCAACCTAAAAAGGGATGGAGACAACCTTTAACATAAGAAAAATAGCTATACATTTCTATGTTTTAAAATGTTTTACTCTCTCAAGCTTAAAACAATTTCTCTATGCTCTACTTGTTATTTAGCAATTCAAAATAAGTAACAGAAATAGATGTTAATTATAATTATTCTGATAAAATTACAGTTATTAATAAAAAAACTAGGCTAAGACAATTTGTACCAATAGAGACAATCTCATATATAATGCTATCACCAGCAATGAAGTATGAAAGAGATGCTATGATACTATATAATATGTTAGTATATTGGAAATCTTAAGGAAATACATCTTGACAAGTATGGCCAAACTTACATATGATATAGTAAACAATGTCACTCTCATCCCCATATTATAAAAGACTTAGTGGAGTAACATACGCTACCACTTTCTTATTTATAAAAAAATTCGAAGAAAAACTAAATTCATTGATTTTCATATTTATTTGAACATCACATTGGTATGCATATGACTTACAACAAAAAGTAGTTGTCTAGTTCTTTCTATATGCTTGAGGAATTTGTGGCCCATTCCTTTGTTCATGTGTGCTCCTTCTATTAAACCTGGAAGATCAGCTACTGATATCTAATACAAAGTTAAACGGTTGATGAAAAAGGAAAATACATGAAAACCACAAGTTCAATTACATCCAAAAATTTTCAAGACATTTCAAATATAAACACTTCCTAACTTATGATTACCACTACATCTTTGAAAAGCCAAGATACTATTATAGCAAAATTAATGTACAGTATTCAGAATTAATATATTTTGTTATATTAGTCCCATATTTACTGTGAATAATCTAGAAATTTTACAGATTAGTTTAACATTTGTTTATTTATTATTATTATTTTAGAGAAGACCTTGTTCTGTCACCCAGGTTGGAGTGCAGTGGTGTGACTGTAGCTCACTGCAGACTGGAACTCCTGGGCTCAAGCCAGGCTCCCACCTCAGTCTCCCAAGTAGCTGAGACAACAGGCACACATTCCACGTCCAGAAAATTAAAACATTTTTTTGCAGAGACAGAGTCTCGCTATGTTGCACAGACTGGTCTCAAACTCCTATCCTCAAGTGATCCTCTCACCTTGGCCTCCCGAAGTGCTGGGATTACAGGTGTGAGCCACCACACTAGTCCTTAGTTTAAACTTATTTATAATTTCTAAACGGTATTGTCGAAGATGAACTTTTCATAGAATTTCAATCTTTACACTCTGAATTCATAAAAGTTTACAAGGATATTAACTCCAAAGACATTTACTAGGTATAGCTCTGTATTTCAAATTCAATTTGTAATTATTTATTTGGTACCATTGTTCCTTTTCTGTTCATATCATACCAGTAGGATTGTCAACCATTCTTACAAAGTATTATGTTGGTGCAAAACTACCTGTGGTTTTGGTCATTACTTTGAATAGACTTTACTACATTAATAGCGGTGTGTGCTTCACATTTTTGTAGGTAATTATTGTTTTTACTCAAGCAAAGCTCATGGCTTTACAGGAGGAGCAGAGTTCTATCATCTAGAATTTCAATCACCTGAGCATGCTTCCCTGTCATAATCTTATCTTGTGCCAGTATTCAAGTAAGAACAGTCAGGGGAAACTGCACTCGACAAACCCAAGTTGTAGTTGTGGCTCTCCTACTTTTGGCCATTACTTTTAATGATCAAAACCGCAGTTACTTTTGCACCAACCTAACAAAAGAATACAGTGTTCCTATACTCCTCTTAGAGGGAATAATCATTATTAACCATCATTCTACACTTGTGCTTTTCAAACCTTACTGTGCTTCATAATCATATAGGGAACTCTTAGAATCTACAACTGCTCAGGCCCTACCCCCAAGAGATTTAGTTTCAAATCTCTGGGGCCCAAGCATCATTTATCATTGCTGTTCTTAAGCCACCCAGGTAATTCTGAAGTGCAACAAAGAATGAGAGGCAGTACCCTACATCCCCTGCCCAGTGTAGACAAAGAATTCAGGGTCTTAAAGGAAGCTGACAAAGCAGCATGCTAAACAGAAATCTCATGTTCTGAAATTTCCTCTACCAATTTCCCTTAAAAATTAGGTATAAACAATGTTCTCTTTTCCTCTAAATATTGTCCTCTATATTCATATTCTATATTTAATATAATTTTACTTACATTTAACATTCTGTATTATAACTGAAGTTTTATCTTTTACTGTCATATCACTATAACTGAATATAATTTTTTAATGTTTTAAAAATTATGTCAGAAAACTATATGAACCTATATTGATGCATCGTTAACACCCAAAGTCTATACTTTATATTAGGTTTCATTCTTGGTGCTGTACATTCTATGGATCTTAACAAATGTATACTGTATCTACCATTACAGCAACAGAAAGTGTACTATATAGTTTCATACTTTATAGTGTGCCCTAGAAATTCTCTGTACTCTGCCTATTCATCCCTCCTCCCTCCCTAACCCTGGCAATCACTGATCTTTTTTTTTTTTTTTTTTTACTGTCTCCACAGCTTTTCCTTATCCAGAATGTCACATAGTTGGAATCATACGGTATCATACAGTCTTTTCAGATTAGCTTCTCTCACTTAGTAACAGGCATTTAAGATTCCATTAGGTCTTTTTGAGGCCTCTTTAGAACTGAATAATAACCCACTGTCTAAATATATACCACCATTTATTTACCCATTCACCTACTGAAAGATATCTTGGTTGTTTCCAAGATTTGGTAATTACAAATAAAGCTGCTATAAGCATCCATGTGGAGACTTCTGTGTGTGCATAAGTCTTCAATATACCTGGGTAAATGCGAGGGAGCACAACTACTAGATTGTACATATTTTAAATATCGTTACTTTCCTTTTATAGTTTTTATTATAAGTATAATAAAAGAAGATCCACAGTTGTTATTTATGAAGGACAAATGAATTTTAATAGCTGGTTGAAACCAAAATTCCATTAAAACATTTTTTTTTTTTTTCAAAAAAAGAAAGTTGGAATAAAATTATTACCATGAACTTTAGAGTGTATTTTTAAAAAACAAAGATAAATAATACAATATAGTAGTAAAAGAAAGACTTGCAATAAGAAGAAACCAAGACTAAGGAGACAAAGAATATATAATGTTGTAGGGATAAACGGGACCTAATCTTTGGAAGAACAAGAAATTAAATTCTTATGAAATATTTTATTATGATAGTGCTGAGAAGAATTAATTTGACCAGTTTATCATAAACAAAACCTTGTTACTTTTTCTCCACTAACACCACAGAAACAGGAAAATACTGTAAGTCCAAGTAAGTACCAAAACCAAGTACTTTGACTTCTAATGAAGTGTTTTACTTTAAAAATACCTACCTGTTTGAAATCATTGTACATAATCTTTCCAAGTTCAGGCTTTAATGTTGTAACTAAAAGAAACACAACAATAAATTAAGGTTAGAATTTATTTTAAGGCTGCTACTCTCAAAAGTGTCTTGGCATTACGCATAGAATAAACAATATTTCAATTCAGATTTTGTTCTAATTTGCTAAAATGGAAACTATGATTATTTTTGCTATTTAACATGTACTTGGAGTATCAAGTGTTGTGGCTCATGTCTGTAATCCCAATGCTTTGGGAGGCCAAGGCAGGAGGATCATTTGAAGCTAGGAGTTCAAGACAAGCCTGGGCAGCATAGCGAGACCCTATCTCTACAAAGAATTTAAAATGGGCAGGCATGGCAGTGCACACCCGTAGTCCTAGCTATTCCAGAGGCTGATGTAGGAGGATCTCTTGAGCCTAGAAGTTCAAGATTGCTGTGAGGTATGATCATGCCACCGTACTCCGGCCTGAGTGACAGAGCTAGAGCCTATCTCTAAAATAAATAATTAGTATTTGGAAAAGGACAAATACAGATTTTTATAATCTGTATAGGCCTAATGTAATTACTGAACCTCAACATTCCTCTATTGCACTTTAAGGTGTGTAATAGATGTTTAGGGAAGTCAGCTATCAGGTTTCTATCACTGGACTGTGGGTGAAATTTTTCTAGTTCCTTCTCCTTCAGTTATTCTTAAGCCTCATCAACCCTACATTAGTCTCTTACCTATGACTTTTTGCTACATATTAAAACAAATAGTGGCCTTGTGATTTATCACAATTAGTCCAAACTTAATTCTACTTTGTCACAGTCTAATTTTGGAATGGCTTGATTTTATTTTCCAAGTTAATATCATTCTGTGTCCTTTTAATGATGGCAGAGATCTTATCATACTTACTATGTTTAACCAAAGCCTCTTTTATATCTCATCTAGCTACCACAAGGGCCTACTGACTGGTTTTCTCAGACTCTTTCATGTCCCACACCAATCCATTTTCTATATTATAGGCAGAGATCTCTGTGAGGAACAAACCTAAGCATTTTATCCCTTGCTTAAGTGATTCCAATTGCTCTTAAGATATTAAAATCAAATATAGCTTACATGGTCTATGTGATATGGTTTCTTACATCTCTAAGCTCATCTCGATTTTTTCCCTACTTCATACTATCTAGACAAACATATCTACTCCCTGCCACCACTGAAGCCTTTGTGTACATGATATTTCCTCTGATTAAAGACCCTTCATCCTCCACTCCATTTTACTAATTAACTCATAATTATTCCTCATATCTCATAATTATTCCACATATCTTCAAGGAAGTCTAAAGCAGTCATCTATACTCTTTCATAATGCCCTTTTACGTTTCCTTATATTTATTAGTGATATATATACCTGACTCCAATAGTCTACAAACTCAATAAAAGTCAAAACAGTGGTGGCTAACACCTGTAATCCCAGCACTTTGGGAGGCCAAGTCGGGCAGATCACGAGGTGAGGAGATTGAGACCATCCTGGCTAACATGGTGAAACCCTGTCCCTTCTAAAAATACAAAAAATTAGCTGGGCATGGTGGCATGTGCCTATAGTCCCAGCTACTCGGGAGGCTGAGGCTGAAGAATGGCTTGAACCCAGGAGGCGGAGGGTGCAGTGAACTGAGATCACACCACTGCACTCCAGCCTGGATGACAGAGCTAGACTCCCTCTAAAGAAAAAAAAAGTATCTGCTAAATGAATGAAAGTATTCATCTCAGCCTTCCTAGTGCTTATCACACTGCCTGATAAAGGATAAGTGGCTCATAAAATCCTAACTAAACCAAATAAATGATTAAGCAAAAGAAAAATACAATAAAGTAACTGTCTAACCTGTATAAGAAACTTTGTTGAGGGGCATAGAGGTTTCAAAGATTAATGGAAAATACGGCTGCGCAGGGTGGCTCACGCCTATAATCCCAGCAATTTAGAAGGCCAAGGTGGGAGGATCACTTGAGCCCAGGAGTTCAAGACAAGCCTGGGCAACATACGGAAACCCCTGTCTCCACAAAAAAAAAAAAAAAAAAATCAGCCAGGCATGGTGGCACACATCTGTAGTACCAGCTACATGGGAGGCTGAGGCAGGGGGATGGCTTGAGCCTGGGCTGCAGTGAGCCATGATCATGTCATTGCACTTTGGCCTGTGCAACAGTGATCTATCTGCCAAAAGTTTTTCAACTAAGCCTACCCTCAGAGTTGTCATTTTATTCATTCTCAGAAAACTATCAGTCTTTAAAAGTTTACCTCCACTCTTTAAAATACACAATCAAATTATACTTACATGCGTAATCTGCAATTGCAGGTTTTGCATGAGAAACTCGACTTAGCAAAGAGGATTTTCCAGCATTTGGGAATCTGAAACAAGAATGTAAAATGATACACTATAATAAATGTCAGTATTATTATCTCTGAATTCCTAAAAATTCAAGTAGACTTCTTGAATATATTTGGGATTAAAAGTAGAATACAAATGTATTACAATCTTGAAAAACTTGAGAACAATATGTACTTAGAAAAAAGGTAAAGAAATTCATTCTGTACACTGAAGATGTTTCAGTATTGAAAGCGTATAATACTTGTTATTCTAATTATGACTTAAAAATAAAAACCACTTGGAAGTCATAGAAAAACAAAGAAATTTAAAAAAAGAAAAAGAAAAACACCTGCAATTTACTCTCTCTAGCTAAGCTAAACACTGACAAAATATTACATTGTTTTGTAAATTGCTTCTAAAAATTTATAGATACTTTCAAACATAAACAAAAGTAGAGAGTAATGAATTCCATTTAGCTATCACCCAGCTTCAACAAATATTAATACATTGGCAATACACTTCTTAAAATTTGGTTTGAATAGAAAATCAAATAAGGTTGTACGTTACAATTGCCTGATGTGTCTCAAATCTCTTTTTAAGCTCCCCCTCTATCTTGTTTCCAATTTGTAATTTTATTTTTAAAGAAAATGGGTCATTTGTCTTACAAAGTTTCTTTTCCAAAGTCTTCATTTTTCTAGTAGCAGCTACACCGTCACTTAACATTCTCTTTTCCCCCTGTGTTTTCTTTAAAAAAATTGGCAGTTGTTAGTTTTAATCATTTTCAAGTTTTAAATTTTTTTTGAAGTGGGGGAAAACTACTTTACAGTTGGTTGGCCTGTTCTTAAAACTGAATAATATAAGGTGAATACTTTTTAATGGTGAAGTGTAATTTACTTAACTAATTTCCTATTGATAGACATTTAGGTTGTCTACAATTTTTCACTCTAAATAACATTGTAAAAAATATGTATACAGGTAGATACTGATAATAGCCATCGCTGGGTGGTAGAATTCATAGACAACTTTTTCTTTATGCTAACAAGTGTGTATTGTTTATCTTTTTCCTAAATAACTTTAAACAATGCAATGACTATCCTTAAACCTTTACAACTTTTTTCATCTTTTCATGGCTTAATAGCTCATATCTTTTTATTTCTTTTAATGCTTTTATTTCAATAGCTTTAGGGGTACAAGTGATTTTTTGTTGTTGCTACATGGATGGATTAGGTGATGATGAAGTCTGGAATTTTAGTGTACCCACCACCCAAGTAATGTACATTGTATACAATATGTAGTTTTTTATCCCTCACCATCCTCCTATCCTCTCTCCTTCTGAGTCTTCAATGTCCATTATACCACTCTGCATGCCTTTGTATACCCACAACTCAGCTCCCGTTTATAAGTGAGAATATGTGGTACTTGGTTTCCATTCCTGAGTTACTTCACTTAGGAAGATGTCTTCATTCGGTTTTATGGCTGAGTAGTATTCCATGGTGTGTGTATATATAGATACATACACACTTTTCTTTATCCATTCATTGGTTGATGGGCACTTAGGTTGACTCCATGTCTTTGCAATTCTGAATGATACTGTGATAAACATGTTGTGCAGATATTTTTTGGATACAATGACTTCTTTTCCTTTAGGTAAATATCCTGTAGTAGGACTGCTGGATGAAATGATAGGTCTACTTTTAGTTCTTTGAGAAATCTCCATACTGTTTTCCATACAAGTTGTATTAATTTACATTCTCACTCAGCAGTGAGTTTAAGTGTACCCATCACCCAAGCACTGTATGTTGTTCCCAATAGGTAGTTTTGTATCCCTCACTGCCCTCCTATCCTCCCTCCTTCTGAGTCTCCAATGTCCATTATATCATTCTGTATGCCTTTAAGAGTATAAAAGTTCTCTTTTCACCACATCTACAACAGCATCTATTGTTTCTTGATTTTTACATAATGAACATTCTGGCTGGGTAAGTTGGTAAATCACTGTGGTTTTAACATGCATTTCCCTGATTATTAGTGATGCTGAACATTTTCTCATGCACTTCTTGGCCATTTGTATGCATATCTTCTTTTGAGAAACATCCATGTCATTTGTCCACTTTTTAACGGAATCATTTCTTCCTTGCTGATTTGAGTTCCTTGCAGATTCTGTATATTAGTCCTCTGTTAGATGCACAGTTTGTAAATATTTTTCTCCCATTCTGTAGGCTGTTTACTCTGTTGATTCTTTCTTTTGCTGTGCAGAGGATTTTTACTTCAATTAGGTCCCATTTATTTATTTTTGTTGCATTTGCTTTGGGATCTTAATTATAAATTTTTTGTCTAGGGCATTGTCCAGAAAGGTTTTTCCAAAGTGTTCTAGAATTTTTATAGTTTCAGGTCTTAGATTAAAATCTTCAATCTATCTTGAGTTAATTTTTGTATATAATGAAAGATATAAACCCAGTTTCATTACTGTACATTTGGATATCCAATTTTCCCAGCATCGTTTTTTTTGAATTGGGTATCCTTTCCCCAGCTTATATTTTTGTGTGCTTTGTTTAAGATCAGTTGGTCTTAAGTATTTGGCTTTATTTCTGGGTTCTCTATTCTGTTCCATTGGTCTATGTACCTACTTCTATACCAATATCATGCTGTTTTGGTTACTATAACCTTGTAATATAATTTGAAGTCAGGCAATATGATTCCTCTAGATTTGTTATTTTTGCTTAGGGTTGCTTTGGCTATTCAGACTTTTTTGATTCCATATGAATTTTAGGGTTGTTTTTTCTAATGCTGTGAAAAATGATATTGGTATTTTGACAGAAATTGCATTGAATCTATAGATTGCTCTGAGCAGTATGGTCATTTTCGCAGTACTGATTCTTCCAATCAATGAATGTAGGATGTATTTCCATTTGTTTGTGTGATCTATGATTTCTTTTAGCAGGGTTCTGTAGTTCTTGTAGAGCTCTTCCACGACCTTGATTAGGTATATCTTTAGGTATTTTATTTTTTGTGACTATTATAAAAGGGATTGAGTTCTTGATTTTATTCTCAGCTTGGTTGTTGTTGATGTATAGCAGTGCTACTGATTTGTGTATACTGATTTTGTAGCCTGAGACTTTACTGAATTCATTTATCAACTCTAGGAGTCTTTTGAAGGAGTCTCTAGGGTTTTTCCAGGTGTAAGTTCATATCATTGGCAAACAGAGATAGTTTGACTTCCTTCTTCCCCATTTGAATGCCCTTTATTTCTCTTGCCTGATTGTTCTGGTTAGGACTTGTCTTTGTACACATCTTTCATTTCTTTCTTGAAATACATGTCTACATGAAGAAATACTAGATAAAATACATGTTCATTTTAAAGGCTTTTGATTATACTGCAAAATTTCCCTCAAGAAAGGCCCATCATGTATGAAAGACAGTATTAGCAATGGGGATTATTTAAAACATCCATTCCCAAATCTCAGTCATATATTTTGATTATGTTTATACAACAAATATTTATTGAGCACTGACTTTGTATCAGGCAACATACTAAGCTTGAGACAAAATGATTCCCAGCTTCAGAGTTTTATTCAAGTTTGAAGAAGTTCTTTCAAAAACTCTGACAAACTTTCATTTGGAATAACAATGGAATATTTTGCAAATATTAATTTAGAATTCTATAAAAACTTATAAGCTCTATAATGAAGGTATTTCAAAAATTTTCCTCATTAAAAATTCTGTAATGAATTTAAAATAAAATTATGGGAGGATTCTTAATGATCTGTTTCTCATGGAACATGTATGTTTTTCATACCCTGTTTCATTCAGGTTCTTATAGCTTTTGAAAAGCGAATTGCAGCTATTTTTGTCCATAATATCACTAGCTGGACTTGCTTATTTGTTTCCAACATCCTCATATTTTCAAAATAATGATTGGGCACATAATGCAAGCAACTATTTCTAAGAAGATCAAAGTATGAACAGAGGTAATGATGCTAATGATTGAAGAACAGATATTTGAAATTTTTCTTGAAAAGTACCCAATGAGAATTTCAGAAACTAAAATCCAACCTATGCAAAGATCAGATTTGACAACAGCAGCACAAGTGTATTAGTTGTACAATAACTTTCTTCTACGATTTAGTCCATTTCCAAAACCAGCTAAAAGGATACCTACTTATGCCAGTAGTCATAGTAGCAATTCTTCAAGAATAGCTGACTAATTTTAAAACACTAGAAAATACATTAAACATTCCACTTAAAAATAGTTTTCCCCCCATTCTCTTTTGACACGCTTAACACACGGACACAGGGAGGGGAGCACTAAACACTGCGGGGGTCTGTTGGGGGGAATAGGGGAGGGACAACAGGGGGTGGGGAGTTGGGGAGAGATAGCAGGGGAGAAATGCCAGATAGGTGAAGGGGAGGAAGGCAGCAAATCACACTGCCACGTGTGTACCTATGCAACTATCTTGCATGTTCTTCATATGTACCCCAAAACCTAAAATGCAATTAAAAAAAAAAAGAATCTTGATGCTTTAATTACTGACAAATTTCAAATCTACTTCTGAAAAGGCTAGTATTTCATTATATGCAGTCTCCAATAAATTGGCAATATAAAGATGATGAAGATAGCAGCTACAATTCATTGAACATACAAAAACGCAAAGCATGTATTCTGCTTTAAATGCATTTTCTTACTCACCCACATTTTAAGGAAAGATCTATCTCCATACACTATTAAAGATGAGAAAACAAATGACATGGTGAAAAGAACTACAGTGAAGGAAGAATGAGAGAAAAGAAAAGAAAAAAAAGAGAGAGAAAGAGAAAACAAAGGCTTAGAGAAGCTGTATAATTTACCCAAGACCAGCTGGTCAGCCTCCAGAGGATCTGAGATCCTAACCTAGTCTAACCCGAGTCTTCCATGCCACCCCACTTTTATGACTAAGCCATGCTAGGCTCTTCTTAGACTATAAAGTTGTCTCTTCAGAACTTGAAACACATTTTTATAACAAATGTGACTGTGACTGGCTGAACTGCCAGTCCTGTCCAGAAAACCCTATTAAACCCATAATGTTCCTGAAAATTTAGATTATAGAATTTATGTCTAATAACTCTCATAACTGTGCTTTATTGGAAAAACAATGTGAATGGCAAGCCAGGATCACATCTTTCCTTGTTATAATTTTAGCAGGAATGGTGGTAAGCTCTAGTGGCTGGTCAGGCAGTGCAAAAGGCAAGGGATTCAGACTTAAGATTGTGGTAGAGAGGCAGTGAGATGACTAGAGAGGAAGATGAAAATAACTTAAAAAGCAGCTTTGGGAAAGCAAAAAGTAGAACTAGGAATTTGGAATAGGGCAGTAACAAGGCAGTTTTCCTCATCTTTTCCTTAAGTTTTCCATCTGAATAACTGCATAATACTGTGATAAGGTTTGGGGGAAGAGGGCAAAAGGGAGGGAGGATGGGGAGAGAGAGAAAATGCATATTCAAGTTTTCTCTTCTTTTATCTACTCTCTATCTTGCTATCTATTCCCTTCCAGTGGGCAGCTGCACTGCAAACCCTATAGCTAAACAGCATTATTTAAAGAAAGAATGGAGGCTGGTGGAAGAGGACACTCTTGCGAGGTCTGCGGTACTGAGACTAGATAGATCCTAAGCACAGGCAAGAAGGATATACAAAAAGTCATAGCAAGATTCAACTCGGCAGCAGTAGTGCATAAGTCTGATGATTGAGATTGTCTGTACTGGTCTTTAGTCATTCGATTAATGGTACCTCAATGTCTCTATTAAGACTGAAAAGAGTTATGTCAACTTTTCTCTTTTTATTTCCTTCTATATACTTAAAATAACAATATGGTTTGTTTGGATTTTTTATTCTTTAATGTCTGATAACATTATAACATTATTATTTAACCTTTTTTTTGAGACAGAGTTTTGCTCTTGTTACCCAGGCTGGAGTGCAGTGGCGCCATCTCAGCTTACCGCAACCTCCACCTCCTGGGTTCAGGCAATTCTCCTGCCTCAGCCTCCTGGGTAGCTGGGATTACAGGGATGCACCACCATGCCCAGTTAATTTTTTGTAGTTTTAGTAGAGACGGGGTTTCACCATGTTGACCAGGATGGTCTCGATCTCTTGACCTCGTGATCCAGCCTCCCTAAGTGCTGGGATTACAGGCGTGAGCCACCACACTTGGTTTAAGCTTCTTATAATATTACATTTGATTGATTTTTCTTTCTTTATGCATTTTCTAACATTCCTATTGATCAATTCAATTGCTCTGGTCTTCATTTTACAAATGAGTAATAACCCTATGAAACTCTATGTTTGCAATTTGAAAGTAACAATATTTAGCAGTATATTTTCCTAGTACACACACAACACACAAATTCCATAAACTAGAAATAATTATGGCCCCAAATTACCATTTACATTTATTTACTATTCATGAACTATCTCTCTTAAAGTATGATAATAAAAATATGAATGATACTTACCCTACTAGGCCTACGTCAGCTATAAGTTTTAGATCAAGGTGAATTACTCGTTTCTGGCCTTTCAATGGTAAGAAGTTTGTAAGAAATTTACCACCAAGACCTCCTTCAGCTACCAAAATTCTGTCATCCTCTTTATTGAGTTCTCCTTAAAAAGAGGGAGAAAAATACAGCAAAGATTAGTAAGTGAAATCACTAATGGAACATATTTCAGAAATATAGGTAAGGAAATTCCCATTACAAATCTATAGATTAGTAAGCAGAATCACTAATGTAATATTTTACTTTCAAAAATACATGCCAGTAAATTCTCAATTAAAAATCTATAATTAATAAGTAGAATCATTAATATTGTTCTTTCAGAAAAAGTCCAGGAAATTACAATTTACAAATCTATTAAAAGTCTGACCCTAGAAAAATACTTTGGTAAGCAATTGAAAATAACCTAGTTACATATTTTAAGACCAAGTAAGAACTCTTACATCTTTAAAATAATCTTAAATCTAGTAATTTAACTTTTCTAAGTTTTGCTCTCTTATAGAGTAGTAGCTAAAATTGTTAGTTAAAAAATTCTTCAGAAAAATCAAGAGAAGCTATTTCATTGTTTAATTTTAGAAAATGTGCACATTTTTAAACCTTTGAAGGTACAGTATACTCACCTATAATTTTACCATTTTCATCAGTTATTGAAATACCCACAGGCACAGGGATTTCACAGTCTTTTCCTTTGGAGCCTTTCAGTGCACAAATTCTACCAAAAAGAAGTATATATACATATATATATATGTATGTATGTACGTATGCATACACACACACACACACACACACACACACACACACACACAAAAAATGGTTTACAAATAAGAGTAGCAGTGACTCACACCTGTAATCCCAGCACTATGGGAGGCAGAGGCGGGTGTGGATCACCTGAAGTCAGGAGTTTGAGATCAGCCTGGCCAACATGGTAAAACCCCGTCTCTACTAAAAATACTAAAATTAGCCAGGCATGGTGGTAGGCGCCTGTAATCCTAGCTACTTGGGAGGCTGAGGCACAGGAATCACTTGAACCCAGGAGGCGGAGGTTGCAGTGAGCCGACATCATGCCACTGCACTCCAGCTTGGGCAAGAGAGTGAGACTTTGTCTCAAAAAAATAATAATATAAAAATAAAGAAGAGTAGCAATCAGTTCTCTGGTTAATGCAGATATTAAATGGTCAAAGACAGGGTTTAAAAAATCTAAAATTATCGCTATTTCTTTGCATTTTAGATTACTATATCCCATTAAAATGGCATTAGGTGATGATTTAAGTTACTAAGGTAACCACCAAAGGTCATTTTGACCCAAAACTAAAACATTGCAAACCCTAAATGAAGGGATTATTGCTACAATACAAATAAGCCAGAAAAAACAGAAACATGGTGGCTCATTCCTGTAATCTCTGCACTTTGGGAGACCAAGGCAGGAGGATCTTTTGAGTTCAGGAGTTTGAGACCAGCCTGGACACCACAGAGAGACCCCATTTCTACCAAAAAAAAAATTAAAAAAATTAGCTGGGCATGGTGGCACATGCCTGTGGTCTCAGCTACTTAGGAGGCTAAGGTGGGAGGATCACTTGAGCCTGAAAGGTGGAGGCTGCAGTGAACTGTGATAGCACCCACTGCACTGAGCCTAGGCAACAGAATGAGACTCTGTCTCAAAAACAGAAAAACAGAAAGAAATAGAAAATCCACAAAATAGCAAAGCTTCTAAAAAACTAACCTCAAATGAGAGTACTCAATAGTATAGAAGACAAATCTGGCTACCCTTAAACTGTTCATAAGAGAAAAAATAAGTACAAACTTTTTAGTAATTCTACTTCTGGGAATTTATCAAACTAATAATTGAACAAACATGTAAAATAGTATCTACACAGGATACTGCACTGTGGTTATAATCAGAAAAAAAATCAACAATAGCCTAAATAGATAAATGACAAAAAAAAAATGCTATTTAGTATGCAGGTATTCTGAATAATTTTCTGACATGGGAAAAAAGTTAAGCAAAAATAGCAGATTGTAAAATACTGTACTCTCATTTTTGTATTCCAAACTTTAATGCACATAATTGCATTTGTGTAAATATACAGAAAAGGCATAGAAAAGTCAAGAAAAAATTAATAGTGGTTATTTTGCCTTCTAATGGTGGGTGGAGTAGCATGGTTAAGACTGAGAAAGTTTTCTTAAAGGTCGTCAAAGACAATTTTAGAAAACAGTGGGAATTCAGATAATTTTCTGTTTCTACAGGGTAAGTTTAATAAGAACACAGATAGACACTGGGAAAAGAAACAGATGAAAAATTTTAGAACTCTGAAATATTATTTACTTCAGTCTTTTATGAGTTGAGACATTTTAGGCTTTTACTCAGTTACAAATATAGGAAATAAATTACTTTAAATTACCAATTAAGTTTTTATTTTGTAACTTAAAAAAAATTTTCCAGAAGGGTTTGATCTTGTAAAATTTAAGTCATTCAGTAATTACTTACTTGCTGTTTGCTCCTACTCCAGCCACAAACCGTTTCTGAGGATACCTGTCTTTAAGTTGTTTTAAAGTCATTCTGTTCTGCGCTACAACCCAGACGTCACCACCTTTTCCACCTTCTCCACCTAAACGAGGGTAACCCATTCCACCGGTTCCTCCCTTGGTGAAGAGTCTTAGGTTATCGATGAAATTTCCATACTTAATAAAAACGAGAAAGAACATTTGTATACCAAAAGCGTTATCAACTTAGAACTCCTATCTAGTTATTTCTTCCACTAAAACTTCTTTCTAAAAAAATTGTTAATAAATTTCTCTATATATGCCAATTCTATAACATTTTCTTAGCTTACCTCACATCTCCAATCTGATCCTCTTTCCCGTTTGATTATCTCTCTTAAGTCCATTTTATTTTTTTCAACTATCGATTATTGTCCCTTCTACGCTGATGGCTTCTGACTTGGTCCTTTTTTCATTCTAGACTTTCTCCCTTGGGTAATTTCTGCTTGTACCAATAACCATCACCTAGGTGAGATATTTTCTATGTCCAGTGTGTCAGACACTTACACCAGGATGTAAGCTTTTAATAGTATACAGCAAATGTGAGCAGAATTCGTATTTAATGTATATTTGAAACCCCCCAATATGTAACCTGTTCTTATATATCAGTTGAATAAATAATAGCCTCCTCAAAAACAAATGTTAATATAACAAAATCAAATTTTTCCCCACATAAAAAATCTATACCTCCAATGTTCTCTCATATAATGGAACCATGGTTTATTCATAGAGACTATATAAATGGACGTCTTTCAGACTATATCTGTTTCTTTTGCTAAAACCCTACTACCTCTATTCTGTCTACTACCATTGCCCTAGTACCTTCATCGCATGAGCTCTTTTCAGTGTCTAGTCATTTTTTCCTTATTGTATTCTCCAACTTGTTGCCTGAACTATTTTTCTGAAATTGATGTGCTCTCCAATCATGTTTCTGCCTTATTCAAAAACCCTGCATTAAAAAAAAATGCTTATGAAATAAAGTAAAAAATTCTTAGTACTACAGTTGACCCTTGAACAACACTGGTTTGAACTGTGTGCATCCACTTATACACTGATTTTTTCCAATAAATACATTAGAAAAAATTTTGAGCTTTGCAACAATTTGAAAAAACTTACAAACCAACCATGTAGATTGGAAATATTGAAAAAAATCAAGAAAAGTTAATTGTGTCATGAGTGTATACAATATACATAGATATTAATCTATTTTGTCATTTACTTCCATACAGTATACATATATATTTTTTAATTTTTTAAAAACTAGAGGCTGGGCATGGTGGCTCATGCCTGTAATCCCAGCACTTTGTGAGGCTGAGGCAGACAGATCACAAGGTCAAGAAATCGAGACCATCCTGGCCAGTACAGTGAAACCCTGTCTCTACTAAAAAGTGAAAAATTAGCTGGGCATGGTGGCACGGCCAGTCACAGCTATTCGGGAGGCTGAGGCAGAAGAATTGCTTAAACCCAGAAGGCAGAGGTTGCAGTTAGCCAAGATTGAGCCACTACACTCCAGCCTGGTGACAGAGCAAGACTCCATCTCAAGACAAACAAAATAAAAACAAAACAAAAAAAACTAGAGATGGGGCCTTGCTATGTTGCCAAGGCTGGTCTCAAACTCCTGGGCACAAACAAACCTCCTGCCTTGGCCTCTTAAAGTGTTGGAATTACAGGCATGAGCTACTGCACCAGGCCACACATCTATTATACAAAGTTAAAATTGGGGGAGGACTCAAGATGGCACTGTGAGAACAACCCAGGATTGAAGCTCTCACTGGATGCGCGGAGAGGGTGAGTCGGGGACGCATTTCCAGACGGATCTTAGTTGCCCACAGAACGGGGAAATTCCCAGTTATAAAAGAGACGCGGGACGCCAGGCAGAGGTCTCAGCTGGTGTAGCCGGCAGCCGGTGTGGCTCCGGCCTGCGCCGGAGCGCAGAGGTGCTCCACAACGCTCCATACAAAAGCGCACTGTTACGGGTGCCCTGTTGAACCGGCAAACTGAGACCTGGGAGGGCTAAAATTGAGACTGAACGGGACTTGGGCAGTGAGCCAGCCCAGGAAATCCCAGGGACAAAGCGTTTGGGCTAGCGCAGTGCGATAAACAAAACGGCGATTCCAAACCCTCCCGGTGAGGAGGTTTCCTTAAAGCACAGCTCCGCGAGGGAGGGGCGTCCACCATTACCGAGGCAATCAGCCCGCATTGAGGTACACGCCCATTGCTGATGTAGCCTGCCGTTGCCGAAGCAACCCGGTAAAACAGAGAGACTCCGCTGCAGGGCGTAGCCCGTGAAAACAGGGTGGAGACCGCAGCAAAAGGGCAGAGCCTGCAGCAACAGGGCGAACCTCACACCAGCAGGGCGGAGCCTCGGCAGGCAAATAGGTGACGTGACTGCCTCCTAGCTGGGCAAGACAGCGAGGCGGACACTCACAAGGAAAGCCTCAACACCCCCCGCAGACAGAGCATCTGAGAAAAAAAGAAATTTTTTCAGCCTATCAGCCCTGAATGAACAACAGAGCTCACAGCTAAGCAATTGAGCTCCTACAAAGTACAGACTGTCTCCTCAAGCAGCTCCCTGACCCCCCTATATCCAAAAGACTGACATTTGGCAGGCATCATTCTGGGACAAAGATAGCAGAAAAAGAAACAGGTAGCATCCCTCGCTTTTCCGTAGCTGCTATAGGTGCACCCCAGACAAGCAGGGCCTGGAGTGGACCTCAGCAGTCACACAGCGAAGGGGCTAGATTGGTAGAAGGAAAACCAAGTAACAGAAATACTTCATCACGAACAATCTGGGTGTCCACTCAGAGACCCAATCGAAAAGTCAGCAACTACTCAGACGACAAGTGGATAAATCCACAAAGCTGGGAAGAAACCAGCATAAAAAGGAGGAAAACACCCGAAACCAGAACACCTCACCTCCTAGAAAGGACCAAAACTCCCCACCAGCAAGGGAACAAAGCTGGACGGAGAATGAGTGTGATGAAATGACGGAATAAGACTTCAGAAGGTGGATAATGAAAAACTTTTGTGAGCTAAAAGAACATGTATTAAATCAATGCAAAGAAACTAAGAACCTTGAAAAAAGATATGAAAAAAGATTTGAGGAAATGATAACAAGAATGGATAACTTAGTGAGGAATATGAATGAATTAAAGGAGCTGAAAAACACAATACAAGAACTTCACGAAGCATGCACAAGTTTCAATAGCCGAATTGACCAAGCAGAAGAAAGAATATGAGAAGTCAAAGATCAACTCAATGAAATAAAACGAGAAACCAAGATCAGAAAAAAAAGCGCAAAAAGGAATGAACAAAGTCTCCAAGAAATGTGGAACTATGTGAAAAGACCTAACCTACATTTGATAGGTGTACCAGAAGGGGACAATGAGAATGAATCCAAGCTGGAAAATACTCTTCAGGACATCATCCAGGAAAATTTCACCCACCTAGCAAGACAGGCCAACACTCAAATGCAGGAAATACATAGAACACCACAAAGATATTCCGCAAGAAGAGCAACCCCAAGGCACATAATCATCAGATTCAACAAGGTTGAAATGAAGGAGAAAATACTAAGGGCAGCCAGAGAGAAGGGTCGGGTCACCCACAAAGGGAAGCCCATCAGACTCACAGCAGATATCTCGGCAGAAACACTACAAGCCAGAAGAGAGTGAAGGCCAATATTCAACATTATTAAAGAAAAGAACTTTCAACACAGAATTTCATATCCAGCCAAACTGAGCTTCAGAAGTGAAGGAAAAATAAAATCCTTTGCGAACAAGCAAGTACTCAGAGATTTTGTCACCACCAGGCCTGCTTTACAAGAGCTCCTGAAAGAGGCACTACAGATAGAAAGGAACAACCAGCACCAGCCATTCCAAAATCACACTAAATGCTAAAAAGCATCAACATAATGAAGAATCTACAACAACTAACGGGCAAAAGAGCCACTTAGCATCAAAATGGCAGTATCAAATTCACACATAACAATATTAACCCTAAATGTAAATGGACTAAATGCACCAATCAAAAGACACAGACTGGCAAATTGGATAAAAAGCCAAAACCCATCAGTGTGCTGTATCCAGGAAAACCCATTTCACATGCAAGGATACACAAAGGCTCAAAATAAAGGGATGGAGGAAGATTTACCAAGCAAATGGAGAGCAAAAAAAAGCAGAAGTTGCAATTCTCATCTCTGATAAAATAGACTTTAAAGCAACAAAGATCAAAAGAGACAAAGAAGGCCATTACATAATGCTAAAAGGATCGATACAACAAAAAGAGCTAACGATCCTAAACATATATGGACACACTACAGGAGCACCCAGATACATAAGGCAAGTTCTTAATGACTTACAAAGAGACTTAGACTCCCACACAATAATAGTGGGAGACTTTAACACTCCACTGTCAATACTAGACAGATCAACCAGACAGAAAATCAACAAGGATATCCAGGGCTTGAACTCAGACCTGGAGCAAGCAAACCTGATAGACATTTACAGAACTCTCCACCCCAAATCCACAGAATATACATTCTTCTCAGTACCACATCACACCTACTCTAAAATTGACCACATAATTGGAAGTAAAGCACTGCTCAACAAATGCAAAACAACTGAAATCATAACAAACAGCCTCTCAGACCACAGTGCAATCAAGTTAGAACTCAGAATTCAGAAACCAACCCAGAACCGCACAGCTTCATGGAAACTGAACAACTGGCTCTTGAATGTTGACTGGGTAAACAATGAAATGAAGGCAGAAATAAAGAAGTTCTTCGAAACCAATGAGAATGAAGACAAAACATGCCAGAATCTCTGGAACACATTTAAAGCAGTCTCTAGAGGAAAGTATATAGCAATAAGTGCCCATATGAGGAGAATGGAGAGATCCAAAATTGACACCCTATCGTCAAAATTGAAAGAGCTAGAGGAGCAAGATCAAAAAAACTCAAAACCCAGCAGAAGACAAGAAATAACTAAGATCAGAACTGACCTGAAGGAGATTGAGACACGAAAAACCCTTCAAAAAATCAATAAACCCAAGAGCTGGTTTTTTGAAAAGATCAACAAAATAGACAGACCACTAGCCAGATTGATTAAAAAGAAAAGAGAGAACAACCAAATAGATGCAAT